ACTTAAAAAGCTAGACATCGATATACCATTTGATCCAGCAATACCACTCTTGGGGATATACCCAAAAGACTGTGACACAGGTTACTCCAGAGGCACCTGCACACCCATGTTTATTGTAGCACTATTCACAATAGCCAAGTTATGGAAACAGCCAAGATGCCCCACCACTGACGAATGGATTAAGAAAATGTGGTATCTATACACAATAGAATTTTATGCAGCCATGAAGAAGAACGAAATGTCATCATTCGCTGGTAAATGGATGGAATTGGAGAACATCATTCTGAGTGAGGTTAGCCTGGCCCAAAAGACCAAAAATCGTATGTTCTCCCTCATATGTGGACATTAGATCAAGGGCAAACACAACAAGGGGATTAGACTATGAGCACATGATAAAAGCGAGAGCATACAAGGGAGGGGTGAGGATAGGTAAAAAATTAGCTAGCATTTGTTGCCCTTAATGCAGAGAAACTAAAGCAGATACCTTAAATGCAACTGAGGCCAATAGGAAAAGGGGAACAGGTACTAGAGAAAAGGTTAGATCAAAAAGAATTAACCTAGAAGGTAACACCCACGCACAGGAAATCAATGTGAGTCAATACCCTGTAGAGCTATCCTTATCTCAACCAGAAAAACCCTTGTCCCTTCCTGTTATTGCTTATACTCTCTCTACAACAAAATTAGAAATAAGGGCAAAATAGTTTCTGCTGGGTATTGAGGGGGTGGGGGGGAGAGGGATGGGGTAAGGGAGGGGGTGGGGGCAGGGGGGAGAAATGAACCAAGCCTTGTATGCACATGTGAATAAAAAAAAAAACAAAACTATTCATCCTAGGTGTTCTTGCACTCACTTGCCTTCTCTTATTCTCTAGTATTGGGGATCAATACTAGAATACTAGCTTTATGCTTGCTACCACTCTACTACTGAGCTATATCCCCTGACTACTCTTTTTTCCACATGTTCTCATACTGGGAAAGCTAGCTGCTGTGTTGAGAAGACCATGGAGAGGCCCATGTGATGAGAAACTAAAACCTCCAATCAACACTCAGTGAAGACCCAGGGTCTTCCAACAACCACATATAGAGTTTGCGAGTCAAGGCTTCAGGTGAGACTAACAACCACTGCCAACATCCGACTGCAACTACATGAGAAACTTTTAGCCAGAGCTACCCAAATATGCTGCTCCCAGATTCCTGACCCACAGAAATGATGAGATAATATTTTTTGTTTTAATCTGTTATATATTGTCATAATTTGTATACAGCAGCAGATTATTAGCATGTTAAATAAAATTAGGAACATTTTTGGGAACTGGGTGCTGACTTAACACCAAATTTTCTAAGAATTAGAAAGGATGAAAATAACTGGGCACAGTGGTTCATGCCTGTAATCCTAAAGTACTCAGAGGCAAAGATTGGGAGATTGTGTGTCAAGGCAGGCCAGGCAAAAAGTTTGGGAGACTCCATCTTGACCAATAAAAAACCTGGGCATGATGGTGCATACCTGTCACCCTAGCTGTGTGAGAAACATAGGAAGATTACAGTCCAGGCCAGCCATAGAGCTAGACCATATCTCAAAAAAATAATCAAAACAAAAAGGGCTTGGGGCATGACTGAGGTGGTAGAGTACCTGCCTAGCAAGTGCAAGGTCCTGCATTAAAACTCCACTACCTTCTCAAGAGAGGAAGGATGAAAACAGAATACGCTCTCTCTAGAGAGAAGACTAAGTTCCACTGGATACTGGATAAAGTCTTTGTGGGTTAAAAGAGAAAGAACAACAGTATCTAATGGGAAATTCTGCTTCTAGCCATGATAAACTGGGTAATTTGGATTGTCTTTGTTGTAAATACAATTAGAAAAAGCAGAAGTGAACATAAAAAATGGAGAACAAACAAAATAGTGTAGAAAAACCAGGATATTCAGGGAAGGACACAAGAGTAAGGAGATGAGCCCAGTATGTAAGGAGAGTGGAGTTCGACAAGAGTTAAAAGTATTCTAATGCCTTTGCTTATAAAATTAATAAGAATTTTATGATAATCACCAGGGTAGCTGTTAAAAGAGTACCAAATGGTATATAAACTCTAAATAATAAAGGGGTAGAGTAAAAACATGAAAAATAAAGCTACCACTTACATCATAAGCTAGTGAGTCTGCTTTCATTGGCCACTGTAAGGCCTGCTAATTCTCCCAAGTCCCAGTTCACTTTCAAGGGCTTCATCAGCTCCCATTGATGAAATGACTTCCCGGAAGAAGGAGGAAATGTCAGTGCTTCCCACTGAAGGGGAAGACAAATCAACATTAAAAACCCTTTTAAAGAGTCAATGGTTTGGTATCATTTGCTTGTACTAAATGTTTTTTAAGGAATGTACCCATGTAATTATTTTTAAAAATGCTTTAAACACAATAAAATTCAGTGAGTAGAAAAACTTGAAAAATTGATTGCCTTCTTCCATATTTTATCCACAGCTAAAGACATCACCTAATTAGCAAAGTAAAACATGAAGCAAATCTAATACCCTACTATCCTTTTCTTTCATTACAGAGAAAAATAGTACTACTAAGGAAAGTAAGCCTTCCCCATTTGATATTTCATGCTAATTATTCAAATAATTTCTATCAATTACTAGGCACACATAACAAGTGATTCTGAATACCAATGGTCATATTCAAAATAAAATTAATTAATTCTGTAATCTGGAAGACTAAATTTTCAAAACACAGTGGATTAAAATTGTAAAAATGTGCCTATTTGAGGAAAAAATTAACATGTGGTATTAAAAAACTCAAGACTGGGAAGCAGGGAAGAGAAGTGTATGCTGGACTTTTGAGGGCTTTGGTAATGTTCTACTTCTTGAATTGGTGCAGTGAAACAGATGGATGACAATTCTGACTTGGTGATAATTACTGAGCTGTTTCCTTATTACTTTAGCATTTTTGTAGGAATATTTTATTTCATCTAAAAATGCATATTTCAAAGAGTTTATTGTGGTACTGGGTATTGAACGCAAGGCCTCCCGCATGCTAGGCAGCTAGGCAACCACTCTACCACTTGATCTACACCCATATAGTCACACCTACAGTCCTCAAAGAGATTTTCAAAAGACCATTTGAACACTTCCATTAGCTTCCAACTTGTGCTTCAAGATGCAGCTTCACTTTGTAAGCTCAAATATTCTTACTGAACCCAATAGTGCAATCCTTTCAACAAATATCATGAAGATATTTAAGACAGATTTTATTTGGTCATCAAAATGTCAACACTTTGTGAATGAAAATTATTCTGACAAACTGTCAGAGTAGGTCTTTGAATAGTTTTCTAGAGGGGTTTACTTTACTGATAAATTTTATGAGTCAATTAGACGAATTTAAAAAGTTCAAATTCTATTTGCTGAAGAGGTAAGTTGACTTTTTCTAAAAAAAAGCCAATCAATTGTATTAATTAGTACATGCAGAAAAACAGATCTACAAGATGTTCTTGATACTAATAGTCAATTATGTCTAATAATAAATACTTGTTGAATAAATGAAATGATGATTGTTTTTAAAAGTACTAGTGGCAAAAACTCTACTTAAAATCTTTGTCAAAATAAAACTGAATACAGATTATTAAGCCACCATATAATATAGCAGCAATAATAAAATCTTATCTACTGAGTGTATGGTCAATTCATAAGTCATTTTGACGGGGGTTCAAAACAAATTCTATACTGTTCTCGATTATTTGCTCGCATGATGCCTTTATAAAGCGGCCCGCGGGTGGGGGGAGGGGGAAGGGGGAGGGTGCTGTGAGGAGAAGGAGGGGAGAGGGATAACTGAGGATGAGATAGAGCAGGAAGAAGGACGTAGTGGATGTGGGGGGGGAGGGCTACGGAGAGCGGAGGAGAGGGATTGACGGGAAGATTGAGAGAAAGGGAGAGTGAGTCGTTTGTGTAGGAATGAGGTGAAGAGAATGGTGTGAAGAGAAAGAGGGGAGGGAGAGTGCGAGGTAGAGGAGGGCGTCTGAAAAACAGATGTCAGAGACCTGATTCATTGGCGAAGACTTCATGAGGTACATCCCGGTAGCTTAAATATTTACTAATGTGGAGCAGAAATTGTTTAAGTCAGAACAGAAATTTTCAAGCCAAAATTTCAAACGAATGACTCATGTGAGACTATGAGGCTAGGTCTCATTTTGATTTCATTTCTAACATGTCCCAATAACTCTGTTAAAATGTGAAATAAGGACAACTTCAAAACAATACCAAGACACATATAGTATGGCTAATTTTAACTAATGTTTACCAATGGCTCAGTAAAACCTGAAAACAAGTAAGGCAACAACTATCTCCTCACACACAGTGGATAGTCAGAAGACTTCAAGGCTGAAGAGAGAGCAACAGTAGGCATCAAATCAAATCTCTAAGTGGGAATCTTGCTCTCTGAGGTTTTAGAGCTCATGGCTACAGGTCTATTTGGTAACTGAATGTTACTAGCCTTAATCAGCTTTATAAAATCATTTAATTGTGCCTCTTAAATATTGCATTACCTTCTAAATAAAAATAATAAATAAATAGAATTATGGATTACACACACGTTATGGAAGCTCTTTCTGAAAGTGGACCGGACCCAAGAAGTATCAGTCAATGCAATTAAATACACACTCTTTCTTTTCCTTTCCTTTTCCCCTTCCTCATTCTCCCCCTCCTCCTTCTCCTCTCCCTTCATCTCTTTCTCTCTCTCTCTTTCTCTCTCCCTCCCCCAAAATTTGGAGCAACAAAATATTCAAATGGTGAATGGTTTCATTTAAAGTCTAAGTAGTGTGAAGTATTAAAGTTATAAATTTGAAGATTATTTGTATAAATTAAGTATAAAGTAAAATTGAATTATTCTACATGACATCTGTCAAGAAAGCATAGGCATGAACACAAGGACTGAAAGGAAACAAGGAAACCTAAGAAGCAGAAAATGTGACTGCCAAGTGAATTTACTATCTTTTTATTTAAATCAATGATAGGCTGCTTAAATAAATCTCAAAGTAAGCATTTACCACCTGTTTTTAGACTCAATTTTTTCAATGCTGGATGATGTATTTATAGGGCCTACTACTAATCCATAAAGTGTATGCTAAACCAGAATTTAGAGTTGGTTATTAAGTTTATGCATTCTTTGCCAAGTCTTAAAGACTAAAGTTAGAATCGACTCCCACTTAATGTAAGGGAGCCTGTGTTTAGAGAATACTGTGTAGATTAAATATTTGCAGAGCAAAATTCTAAGACAGAAGAGTCTTTTCTAAGGACCGAATTTATAGCTCTATGTCCAAGTGCTTTTTGTGCTCCAGAGTATCTTAAATACTTACCTTCATCTGCCCTATTAATTTCGTGTTCAGGAAGCCTGGAGCTACTGGGTCTGGAAGGTGAACCCACAGATGGCTGCAATGAAGGAAGCTCATCAACATCTCTCAAATTAGCAAGCATATCCTGCAGTTTTGACCTATTGGGCCCTAGCCAAAAAAAAAGGAGGGGGGGGGGGGAAAAAGAGAAAATAGAATTATCCACTGCATCAAAATTGTGCCATAAACCTTATTTTTACATCATCCAACATTTACCTTTAAAAATATCCTCCTAGATTGATCAATAAGAAGTAATTATCTTCAAAGTTTTCAAGTTATTATAAAAGTTTATTTCTTGAAAAGAATTATGTCTTACTTGCATTTCATTAAGCTAATTAAATCATTCCTGGCATGAAAAAGAATGTTCATGTCCAAGTTGGACCATTAAAAGACATATTGATAATTGAATCAATGAACAGTGCTCTAAATGAAGACAGACACTTTAGATTGTGAACTGTGTACTGAATTAAGCAATAAAACCCCTGCTTGTTTAAATTAAATTGCATTTGCTGCCTTACATCCTAAAGCTATGATACCCAAGGTGAAGTTTTACGCCCTGCCAATGACTTACCTGAGCTTTGATTCTTCATTCTCCCACATCCCTGTTTTGACTGTTTTATATAGGATAGAGGCTGAAACAGATCGTCGGTAGTTTTTCCTGTTATAAGTTTAATTAAGAATGGGAAAATCTTACCCATAGTCCATTATGGTTTTTTCCTATACCAGCAAAGAATACAACTATTCCTAATCAATTTTAACTAATACCTAGAAATATATTTCAAGATAATATGACTGGAGTACACAATTTGACTGGAAATATTTATACTACATCAATTTAAAGACTCCAACTTTTTTTTCCATTTAAAAATATATTTATGGTGGTTTATATATGAATGCTTCATATACCAATTGAAAGTTTTGCTTCATTTTTCTTTTTATCGTAAATCTTAACTTGTTCCCACACTGCTATTTATCAAGATAACAAACTAAAAATGATAAAGAAAATGTGCTGAACTGCAATCCAAATTCCCTCTATCTTCAGTGAAAGACATTAAGATTTCTCTCCCAGGGACTAATTTTTCTTTACCATACTAAAAATATGTAACATGTGCTATATAACACCTGAACATGGATCCTAATCCTCAGATTTAGGAAATCCAATTGCTACTATTGGTTGGAATGCTGTTCCAGTCAAATGGTGTGGTTTTAGCTCTTAAGTGCTAAATTCCAACTACAGTGAAGCCCGGATATTTGACAAGAACTAATAATCTATGTGAGAGTAAATGACCTCTATGTAAGTCCTGGCTATCTTTCAAATCAAAAGATCTTTTACATTTCAAGATATTCATTTTTATGGCACAAATTAAAAGAAATGCATCAAAGTTAAGTTAATTTGAAAATTATTCCTCATGTATGATATATAGATTTTTCTCAAAATTTCATTTTAACTGGCTTGACCATGGCTCCAGAAGCTATTAGAATTCATATCTCAATATATTTGTTAAAATTACATTTTTATCAGTATATTTAAATAAAATATAGGAAATGCTACGTTTTAATATTAATCTTTCTAACTCTGATTTAATCTGTATTGAGATAACACTAAATGATATCTTCCAATAGGTAATGGTTGAAACTATGCTAACAACGACTTTTTATCAAATCAAGCTAAATATTTATATTTAAATAAAGATTTAAATGTTTTTAACTATTAGTTTGTAAGAGATGTCCTAGCAGGACCAGTCTTGATATGCTTCAGCATCATTTTAAAAAAAGGGGAGTAGGGGAACATATCCTCTAGTCTTTTGCAACTTATAAATACATTTCTCATTAAGTCAAGGTTTTAGTCTTGCCCTACAATATTTTCGTATCTGAAAGGGTGAAATTCCTATTACCATAAAAGGGAGGTTCATGTTTATACTGTCAAAGAGGGTGGAAACACAAGAAAGTAGTTTAACTTTGCTCCCCTAAAAAGATGTTGAAGGTTGTTTTTAGGGATGTTTTCAAAGTTTTTGTACCATTTTACATACTTAATTAGACCTACTGCTAAACTTTTTATTTGTATAATAAGTTATATGATTCACAGGGCTAGAAATTACATTCTGGCTTTTATTTTTTTGATGTGGCACACATTTTATTGAAAATAAAGAACATAATTTATAATATTGCTATAAATTAAATTAGTCAAAACTTATCAATTAGAAAACAAACACTTTAAAGTTACATTTTTGACTCCATGCTCTGAATAGCATATACTGGTTGTGAGTAAATAAACTGTGTATTGAGAACATGTAGCATATTCAGGGGTAGAAATTAACTTCCTTATGTTTCCAAGATCTTAAATGCTAAGCAATAACTTGGTGGATTGTCAGAGGGTCAAGCTAGATGAGATTTATAAATTGCCATTGGAAATAAATATCATTGAAACTAAGCATATGTACTTTCAAAACATTAACTTATCACTATGTTTAAATACACAGTCCAACATTCTCATGAGGCTCTAAATTTGTCATGATTTTATATTTGTATGTGGTTTTTGTTTAAGTTCACAATCAAATGGCTAGCCATTTAATTTCAACCCCTGAGAGCAAGTGAAAAGGAATGAGGTCAGGAGTAGAAATGAAAAAGAGTAAGTAATTTTAGGAAAACATTGAAAAAAAAACTTGGGAGATGTAAAAGAGGAAAGATTTATGATTTACAGATACAATGTTTTCCACTTACTCTTCACCCCTTTTTTCCCCTTTCTCTCCTTTTTGTATTGTTCCTTGAGTTTGGTAATTACTCCCTGGTCCACATTCCAGGCTTCAGGCATGAGACACTGTTCTTCCTTTTCTAAACAGAGTGAAACAAATGAAACAGCCTTTTTCAATAAGATATTGAACACCTTCTAAGTCAATATGTCTGAAAGACACAACAATGATTTTCTACACAGCATCACTAACTAAAAATAAGCATTATTTATTTATCAGGTATGTAAGTCACACAAAATATAATAGATAAGAAACAATCATCAATTCAACTTCCTAATTAACAATAGACAGAAAAAATAAACCTAGAAATGTAAGTGACTTTTAATAAATTAAGTCCAAACACTTTACAGTCAAGAACCTCTCATTTTCATTCCATTGTATGAGTTCTACCAGGAATAGAATCACACAAAAACTATTTACATTTATTTATGTGATAAGAGATTTACAAAATCATCTTCAACAATCTTGCCATTTCAAGAGTTTTATGCTTTTGGCTTGTGTTCAACAACACATAATTTTTATTTTACTGGCTTGCTAAATAGCATTTTGTAAAACTTATTAATCAAGTTCAAAATCTAAAATAATTTAAGTGATGTGTTAGTTGATAAATTCTCAAAATAGGAAATAGCTTCTAGTAGAAAATAACATTTAATAATCACAATTTCAGAAGACATTTTGAAGAATAAAATGTTAAGTTTGTATAGTTTACATTTTATTATAAAACAATTTACATGCTACATGCTGCTATGGAAGTGTTAGCTTAGAACTCTACTTTGAGTTCAAGACCTATCTATCCAACTGCTCACTCTACATGTCCATTGGGAAGTCTAAGATGTCACAAATTAAACATGCAAAAACAAACTCTCAGTTTCCTTCCCCATTCTGTTCCATTCACACAGTCTCTATCTCATTTGATAGCAATTCTATACTACTAATTGTTCAGACCAAAAACTTTTCTCTCCCACTTCACATAAAATATTTCAGGAAATACTGTTTTCTCCATGTTCAAAACACATCCAGAATCTGACTTCTTAGCACATCTACTACTTCTCTGACTACTGTTAGCTCTTGCTAGAAATGCTGCAATAATTAATCCCACTCCTTTCACAAGTCCACCATCAATAGTTGTCTGGGTAATCTATTCTGAGCATAGCAGCCAGAGCAATGCTTTAAAAGCTAGATCATGTCACCCTTCTGATCAAATCCATTCAATGGTTCCCCATCTCACCAATGATAGATATGGCCCTACATAATTTGACCAATTCTCATTACAATTCCCCTGTAGTCACTCTGCCCAAACTACTCTGGCCTCCTTGAATTCCTTAAGCACATCAGGAATGCTGCTATCTCAGGGCACTTGCTCTGGCTTTCTTTTCCTGTACATATCTTTTTTTTTTTTTTTCCGATATCATTATTGCTAACTCCCTCATCAACTTCAAGTCATTTTTTCAAATGTCATCCTATCCACACTAATATCAATGGATTTTACCATGGCCACCATATTTTAACCTGCCCTTTCTATCCCACCCAACCCCCAGATCTCCTTATTTCCCTTACCCTATTCCTTTTCTATTTTCTATAGCATTTATCACATTCTGACACCCTGTATCATTTATTATGTTTATTACTCATCATCTAGATCTTTTAAGTAGACTGGAACACCACAGGAGTAGGAATTTTCCACCCAGAAGACCTGGCTCATAGAAAGTACAATATCAATCAATCAATATTTGTTGAACAAAGATTAGAATTATCTGAAATGAATCAGAATAAAAAGAAATCTATTTTTAACAATTATGTTGTAACTCAACTTGGAAAACTGTTTATTGAATTCTGAATACAACACTATTAAAAACAATTTTTAAGCTAGGTATAGTGGTGCATGCCTGTAGACCAGTACTAAGTAGGTTGAGACAGGAGGATTATGTGTTCAAGGCCAGCCTGGGCTACTGAGAAAGACCCTATGTCAAACTAAACCAAACCAAAACAAAATATCCAACTTTTAAAACTTATCATTTTTATGTACTTACCAACTACTACTAATAAAAACAGTCTGTTTTTCCAGAAGGATCTTACAATTTAAAATGTTAATTTTCACTAATCGAATCTTAATAATAAATTAAACCTGGGGGGAGGATTTTGAATCCTGGAATATCTTCAAGTTGTTTGAAGCAAAAATTTAGCTTTACAGTAATCTTAAGAGACTCTTGAATAACAGCAATGGCATGTCAAAGAAGGTACCTACTTCCTTGCCAAAAACTAACCAGATTCTTAACCTCAGCATCATTCCTTTTTGAGAGATAGAAGGAACACTTAAAATGGTTTAAATGCCCAATCAACTAGACAAGTTTGCAATTTAGTTATGCTACTTTGTTCAAAGTTCAGTGCTTTGAATTTGAATTTCAAAATTCTTAAAACACACAAGGCCAAACTACTGGTAAAGAAGTCTCCAGTCCATGAGCTTCTATTCATTCATACCTATAAATATATCTAGCCTTCTACTAAAGAGTGTGACAATTCAGATATAAGAACAACCACTCGTATTTTCACCAGTTACTTCATAGCATGCTAAGTTAAAATGTACACACATGTACTATGTACACTGGACCATGACTCACACATTGAAGTGAAGGACATTAAACAAGGAAAAGTAGTCTTTGCAGAAAAACCAGTCCCAAGTACTCCTGCAATAAGACCGTCAATGACAGTCTATGCAGATGTGTGACTTCTCAGTCAAAGACTTCAGTTTGTGCCTAATTTTATCACATAAGTAATGTGATAAATAAGTTCAGTAGAGAATAAGACAAAAGAGAGATGTATTTGACTTTAACTTCTCCTTGGATTCCACACTTTGCTTGAAGGAAAAGTTAGTCACTAGATAGCTGTCATATTCTTCAGACTCCTTGAAGGTAAGATCTTTTATTTATTTATTTATTTATTTTCATTTTTCTTTTATTATTCATATGTGCATACAAGGCTTGGTTCATTTCTCCCCCCTGCCCCCACCCCCTCCCTTACCACCCACTCCACCCCCTCCCGCTACCCCCCTCAATACCCAGCAGAAACTATTTTGCCCTTATCTCTAATTTTGTTGTAGAGAGAGTATAAGCAATAATAGGAAGGAACAAGGGGTTTTGCTGGTTGAGATAAGGATAGCTATACAGGGCATTGACTCACATTGATTTCCTGTGCGTGGGTGTTACCTTCTAGGTTAATTCTTTTTGATCTAACCTTTTCTCTAGTTCCTGGTCCCCTTTTCTTTTGGCCTCAGTTGCTTTAAGGTGTCTGCTTTAGTTTCTCTGCATTAAGGGCAACAAATGCTAGCTAGTTTTTAGGTGTCTTACCTATCCTCACCCCTCCCTTGTGTGCTCTCGCTTTATCATGTGCTTATAGTCCAATCCCATTGTTGTGTTTTGCCCTTGATCTAATGTCCCACATATGAGGGAGAACATACGATTTTGGTCTTTTGGGCCAGCTAACCTCACTCAGAACTGATGTTCTCTCAATTCCATCCATTTAACCAGCGAATGATAACCATTTTCCGTTCTTCTTCGATGGCTGATAATTCCATGTGTATAGACTACCACATTTTCCTTACATCCATTTCGTCAGATTTTTTTAGGGTGGGGCCCATCCTTTGGCTGTTTCCCCATAACTTGCTATTGTGAATAGTGCCGCAATAAACATGGATGTGCAGGTTGCCTCTGGGGACGTAACAGTTCCTTTTGGTACTAATCCGCCAAGACGTGGTAATTTGCTGGATTCAATGGTAGATCGATTTGTCTAGCTTTTTAAGTAGCCTCCAAATTTTTTTTCCAGAGTGGTTTGTCTAGTCTACATTCCACCAACAGTGTAAAAGAGGGTTCCCTTTTTCCCTGCATCCTCGCGCCACACCTGTTTGTTTGGTGGTGTTGCTTGATGAGTGGCTATTCTAACAGGGGTGAGGTGGGAGAATCTTACGTGTGGTTTAATTTGCATTTCTTATTGCTACGAGATGGGTGAGCGCATTTTTTCCATGTGTTTTTCTGGCCATTTGACATTTCCTTCTTTTGAAGAAAAGTTTGTTTAGTTCACATGCCCATTTCTTTATTTTCATATAGTTTTGGGAGAATTTAGTTTTTTAAGTTCCCTGTATATTCTAGTTATCAGTCCTTTGTCTGATGTGTAGCTGGCAAATATTTTCTCCCCACTCGGTGGGTGTTCTCTTCAGTTTAGAGACCATTTCTTTTGATGAACAGAAGCTTTTTAGTTTTATGAGGTCCCATTTGTCTATGCTATCTCTTAGTTGCTGTGCTGCTGGGGTTTCATTGAGAAAGTTCTTACCTATACCTACTAACTCCAGAGTATTTCCTATTCAAGAAAGTCTTTCCTGAAGGATATACTGCCTAGCACACAGTGTTTTCAGGTGGGTGGAACATCACTTTTTTGGAAAAGTGCCAAATTCAAGTGAAAGGAAGCAGCACTGTTTCTATTTTAAGAACAGCATTAATGTTAGAAGCAAGGGGGGCTAGCATGCTGTTTACCAGTGAGAAGTGAATGAACTTTTCGAGGGAATACTGCCTGTCTCTCTGGCTTTACACTGTGCAGAACATTACTTTTTTAAACAGCCATTTGCAAGTGAATGGAAGAAGCACTGTTTCTCTTCCAAGAGAACCATGAATGTTACAAGCAAGAGGGCCAAGAACCTTTATAGCATTGTGAATTCAGTTAGCTGGTTATGAGAATACGGCCTACATCTCAGTGTTATTTTGAGTGAAAAACATAAACTTTGTGCCAAATACCGCCTTTCAAATGAATGGAGAAACACTGTAGCTCTTCTAATAAAACCATTAATGTTAGAAGGAAGAGGGTCTAGCACATTGTTTAGCATTGTGTATTGAGTTAATTGTGGAAAGGAATACAGTCTACCTCTCATTGTTTTCATGGGGGAGAACATCACCTTTTTCAAAATCACCATATCCTGTGAAGGCCTGAAGCATTGAGGCTCTTATAAGAGAAATATGAATGTTAGCAGAAAGTGGCTCGAGCACTTTGATTAGCACTGTGAATTGAGTTGGCTTTTCAAAGGGACATTGCC